GAGGGGGGGGGGGGGGGGGGGGGAGGATGCGTGCGTGCACGCACAGGGTGGGGAAGTTAGCGAAACCTGTCACTCAGGTACATAGAGGAATTGCAGATACAGAGAAAATACACACTAGGATATTGAAATTAGGAATAACTTCCAAATACAATTCCAGGCACCAATGAAATAAAACTCAGCAGAAAATTCCTATAATTTGAAAGGGGATTTGGGTTCTCAAGTTGAGTTCTACAATCAATTTACATGAGTTTCTCAATACACTAATTAAACATCAACAAATCATTTTCTTAATCTATAAAAGGGTAAAAGACTGATTATTTTTCTGACTTTAAATTTTAATCCTATAGGACAAATACTAAAAGATATAATCCCAAACATATATTAATAAACATATATTAGATTGCTCAAAAAGAATGTTAAAAGCAGCTTTATTGCCTCTGGCCATATGCAGGTATAGACAGAAATGAGGAATCTTACCTATTCCAGAACTCTGTTCAAACAATCCCCACTGATATGGTGGAGAATGACCCTGCTTTGAGGGGTGCATGACATGTCTACAAATACTGTGGCCATGACAACACAGATTTCACAACCTTACAACAGTGGAAATAACACTTTCCATTACTTACTTTGTCAAGGGTGAGCATATAGAAATTAGTGATATCATGTTCTTGGGCATAACGAATTCGAGATCTACATTCTTCTTCATCTATCAGCTCACCCACATACTCATTCACAAATTCACCCTAGAACAAAAAATAGCTTCTGACTTAATGGCAAAAAGTACATTGATGTTCACATGTATATATTGATTACCACATCCTCAGCATAATGCCTAGCACACAGTAGACATAAAACAACTACTTGGCAAATAATTAAACAGACCAACCCATATTCATGGCCTTTCCTAGAAAGAAACTTCCAAAAAATTCTTTGGAAAATAAAACCATGAGTAAGGCTTATTTTATTAAAATACCAAATAAGACTTATTTTACACAAAGATTGTATAAAATTATCTATTTATTAAAAACTTGCAGATCATTTTCATTTAAAAGGTCTAACCCCTTCTCCTTCATGTTCCATGAACCCAATTTTGTTTTTTCCCCACTAAAAGTATTTCATTAGCAGATGATTAATACCTCTGTATCATGTACTCACTATCCTCTCACTCTTAATTACTAGTTCTAGGATTTTTCACAAAAGAGCAAATAAGGCCATAGCATCTTTGAATTTCTCTTTTTTTCTATCCTTCTACATAGTAAACATGATCAATACAAAGGACTTTAGAGATGAAGGCGACCATCCATTCTCAAGCCTCTCAATATGGAAGGATATGGCAAGACACAATAACATGGTTAATCCCTAAACTATGTTATTTTCCTCTATGATGAATTTTCTCATATTCATCAGTTACCAAGCAACTACAAAGAAGAAAAAAAAATCCGGTAATTAAGAAAAGTTTTTCTGGGGCTGGTGGGTTAGCTCACTTGAGAGAGTTTATGGTGCTGGTAACACCAAGGTCCAGGGTTTGAACCCCTGTACTGGCTAGCTGCCAAGAAAAGAAGAGAAAAGTTTTCCTTACCTTTTTAATATCTGTCTTTGTCCGTAGACCCCAACCCCTCTGTAATGTGCGGAAAATTTCAACCTCTGGATACTGGCGCTTGGTGAAGCACTGGTTTTGACAGCGTCCCCCAGCAGGACATACTGTGGGATGGCACTCATAGAGCAGCATGCGGTTGATACACTCAGAGTCTATCCCACAGGGGTTCTCATCAGTAGCTTTACAGTTGCAACGGGGAATTTCAGACAAGTCTGCAGTGAAGATCTGTACCCTGCCAATAGGACGGTTCACCTGGAGAAGAAGTGTATAGTACAGTACATCAGGCAAGTCAATACAAGATAATTCAGGACCTGTAAAAAGGCAGACTTCCTTGAAGTTGCATGTTACATTTCACATGATTTTGAACTATCAAGATTTAGGCAGTTTGATACGAAAATAATGCCTCATTTGATATATAAAATATGAATCCAACAAAAGTTTTAAAAATTCATTTGAAAATCAAAATTTCAAAGCCAGTAGGCCAACTGAATTACAGTCTAGGTATGTGCTATTGCCGCATGGTGGCACCACTTTAGCTGCTATACTATACCTTTTCTCTATGAATACACGTTTTAATCAGTCTTTCTTAACACCTGATCTAATCTGTTATTAATCTGAAATAAGTTTCATGCATAACACCTCACAAAGCAAAGCAAAACAACAACAAAAAACACCCACATGATTAAGTAAGAACAAAGACAAAGATATGTAATTGTAGGTAAACTCTCACTCTAGATCAGGGGTTGACAAACTTTTTCTGTAAAGGACCAGACAGTAAATATTTCAGGCTTTCTGGGCCATAGGTTTTTGATGCATGTAGTTCAACTCTGCCACTATGTAAATGAATAAGCATGGCTGTGTTCCAATAAAACTTTGTTTATGGACACTGAAAGTTGAATTTCATATAAACTGCATGTGTTACAAATTATTCTTTTTCTTTTTTTCCCAACCATTTAAAAATGTAAAAACCACCCTTAGCTCATGGGCATTACATAATTAGGCAGTAAACTGGATGTGGCCCATAAACCATAGTTTGCCAGCCTCTACTCTAGATCCTTTTCCTGGAAATATGTTTGTTTACCAAAAAACAAAAAACAAACAAAAAACAACGCAAGTAGAGGGAAGAAGTTGGCCTCTAAGTTCTGTGATGAGATCATCCACAGGAAGTTGTTCTCTCAATAGCCAACTGATGTGCTATTCTGAAATGCCTACCTTGCTGTTATCTGACACCTAGGACTGTGTGAACAGGATTACTTTCCTTTTTCTGAGGTCTAACTACACTTTGGTGTTATGTCTTCACACATAATAACTCCATTTAATTCTCAGTGTATAGCCAGAATCCACTTCGACCCATTATGGGTCTTGAGTTTCTTTCTTTCAGCAATCTTAATTACTTGTAAGGATTAATATTTTATGACTTCTATTCCTTCTTAGAGGCCTTCCAAAGACCAAAAAGAAAATTTACTTACTTAAAAAGAATAAAACTCATTCTATCTTGTAACTATCATGTAGGTTCATTAGACCATTTTATAAATCTAAGATATAGTATGGAATTTGAGTGTTCTTACTTTTCCTATTCTTGTAACATTTTAGTATTTCATCATTACCCATCAATGATTCCTAACTATGCTAAAAAAGAAAAATAATAAGAAGAAAATGGAAGAATGATGGTATTGTATATAAGCAGGATGAAATAGTGAAATAAACAGTCACACTTCAGTTTTCTTATAGCATTGCACAAAGTACTGCATCATCTTTCAAGAAAGTATAAAAGCCTGGAGATACTATCTTTATAGTCTGCTTTTAGTAAGGTTGCCAGACTTAGTGAATAAAAATCCAGGACACCCAGTTAAATTTGAATTTCAGATAAACAACAAATCATTTTTTTTTTTTTTTAAAGATGACCAGTAAGGGGATCTTAACCCTTGTCTTGGTGTTGTCAGCACCACGCTCAGCCAGTGAGCTAACCGGCCATCCCTATATAGGATCCGAACCCATGGCCTTGGTGTTATCAGCACCGCACTCTACCGAGTGAGCCATGCGCCGGCCAACAACAAATCATTTTTGAGTTTAAGTATGCAATATTTGGAGTGTCTCTCCTAGAGATTGTCTCCCAAGAATTTTTTTCTCACCTTTATATGTTTATAAGGCGGTGGTTTTTTGTCATTCTTTCGGTCTTCTTGTAGCTGCCTTAGCTCTTTTTGGGCCTTTAATTCCTCAAACCGTGCTGCAGCTTCCTGAAGAGCTAAGAAAACACATAGGACAAGTGTGACTGAAGTTATTTTGCTTTTTTCCCCCTTTAAGTTGGAGAAAACCCACGTTTTAGACAAAAACCAACCAACATTTTATATGAGAAACTAAGAATATATATGACACCTATTTTCAAATAGGTTATACGGTCCCCAGGGTACTCAAATGTAACATTAAGACAAAATGACTCAATACAGACTATAACCTTCAGAGGAAAAACAAAACACAAACAGCAAAATGACTTTAAAAAGCCCACAGATACCATCTACCAATGACTAGACTTCACCTGCTCTACAAAGTCCTGCTTCCAGGAACATTCTACTTCCTAGGTGCCCCAGGTAACATGCTCACTCTTCCTGGAAGAAATTCAAAGTTGAAGTTTTCCTTTTCTTCTTTACTATTCTCTAGAGAACTTGTCCTACTCTTCTCCTAAATTCTGTAAATATCAGCTATTAGCTCTAATGATACACAGATCTTCATATCTAATCTACATTAAAATCCTTTCATATACTCAAAGATTGGAATATCTGAAAAAGTCCAACAAAATCTTAAGATTCTCATTTTTATCCACTTAAAACAACATTTTAATTCATTATTCTTCACCCACGTTAAAAACTCTGAGAATTCCAATTCTTCCCTCTTTCCTCCCTGTGGCTTTCCCCATGTTTTGTCAATTCTTTCAAGAAAATCTCCCCTCTGACCCATCCCCTTTTCTTCATTTCCCTGTAACCATTTAGCAGAATGTGTGTGTCCTAAAATTTGTCCTTTCCTTATCATATTAGTCAGCATGTCCTGCCTAGTCTATCTCCTTAATGTCTACCCAGTATACATCATTCTCTCTACCCCCATGAACAACTCCCTGTTACTGTCCCATCATCTCTGCCCAGAACTACTTACAACAGATATATTGCAGATCTTCCTGGCTGTAGCTTCTCACCTTCTAAAGATCCCAATACTCCATACCAGACTAAGGTTTCTACAACTCTGTGCTGACCATGTCGCTGATGTAACTCTTTAGGCAAATAGCCCAGTGCTTCCCCAACCCTGTGCTTAAACTATACCAAATACTTGGAGGTCGATAACTCAGCATGTTAGATTAAAAACACGTACTATCTTCTTGACAACATTTTAAGTACCTTCCTTATTTGTTTACAGTGTAGGGGTTAAGAGTTTGCATTCTGGAGACCAACTACCAGAGTCAGAAACCTGCCTCGGGCCGGCCCGGTGGCGCACTGCTATAGTGCACCGCTTGGGAAGTGCGGCGGCGCTCCCGCCGAGGGTTCGGATCCCACATACAGACCGGTTCTCGCTCACTGGCTGAGCGAGGCGCGGGAGCAGCACCGAGAGTTGCGATCCCGTTGCCGGTCCTAGTCTGGTACGGGGGCGACACTGAGGGTTGCGATCCGTTGCCAGACACGGAAAAAGACAAAAAGGAAAAAAAAAAAAAGAAAGAAACCTGTCTCAACCAGTTATTGGTTTTGGAACCTTACACAAGTAATTTAACTTTTATGTGCCTCAGTTACCTCATGTGCAAAATCAGGATGGTATCTACCTTATACGGTTGCCATAAGGACTTAAAGCAGAAAACAAACATTGAACAGAGTCTAGCACACAATAAAGGTAACTATTATTATCATCATTATGGCTCATTCTTCAAAGCACTAATTAGGAAAGAAGCCATCCATGACTTCAAGACTTCAATCCCCAGCCTAGTCATGCTTCCTCTTGCTCTGCTTCCACAATATACTATGCACGTTTTTGCCACAACACTCACTGAATGGCATTTTGACTGCTGATATCTATGTCAGATTCCCCTATAAAAACATGTGTTCAAGAAAGCAGAAGCACCTAGCCATCCCCTGGTGAAGGAATAGAAATCACAGAATCCCAGAGATTTGGCAGCCTCACACTGACGGCATTCCCCACACTCCACCTTCTCTCCCAGCCTTGGTGGTGGCCATCTCTATGCAGGCCAAGATGTAGGTCACTTAGTCCCTGACAATCTGAGGTTACAAGACTCAAGACCCAAGCTCCTACAGTATTAGTAATGATAGCCCACAGTATCAGTACTGTGTATTACTGTATTAGTAATAGTTCAAATAGCCCATATCTCTGCACAGAAACTACATGGCAAATAGGTAAATAAGAACCCACTAAAATAACATAAGGCAATCAAAAACTTTGTTGAACTTGATCCCTTTGGACATCACTCCCGTTACCTACCCAGGAAGTTTCACTTGCCAAGAATCCCTTTTCATCTCACCCCGAAGACAAAATCTTATACTTTAACGTCCAATACATTCAAATTGCCTTTTAAAGGACAGCTAGAAGAAGAAAGTAATTGCCACTGAAAAGATACCAAATATGTACCCTGGAGGTCACTTTTATTATCCCACTGAACTCACAGCAACCTTACTCCATTATATGGTAAAGGAAAATCCAGGCTCAAAGTTGACTCAACCACCTGGTGAGTGGTAAAACTAGCCCTGGTGACACCAAGGGACCTCACCTCCTACCCCCAACTGTCCCTACTGCCTTCAATGCTAGGCCAGCCTACAAAAATTTCTTTTGATTCAGAGTATTTATGCTTTGACCTCCACCATTTTGCTCTACAATTTTGGGTAAATTTTATTTCTTCCCAACAAACTAAAAAAAAAAAAAAAAAAAAAAAATCCTTGGAGTAAATGTGGGGCTCTGCTAGAGATTCAAGCCTTTGCCTATGAACACTTTATAAAATAGTTCCAGAACCTCCATTACTTGATGAGATGCTGAGAAACCAGAACTGATAAGACCAAAAAAAACTTCCTCAAGGAATATCCAGTTAAGTAAAGGTTAGGCTCAAAAAATAATGAGTTATGTGGGTCAACTTCCCTGCAAAATCCTACAACTGCAGCCCCATAATGTGCCCCAGAGGACACAACACAGCTGCTAAATGTAACATATGTGAATTCTAACACAGAGCAGATACTCAGGCAACAAAGGCCTGTGTTGATATAAGAACAAAAAGGATAAAGTTACCTTTTTTATATGTCCCATCCACTCCTTTGCCCATCTTATCCTTGCTGCTCACATCCCCCTCCATGTAAGGAAAGACTCGAGCCTGATGAGTCCACAGATAGTCATTAGAACCAAAGAAGAGGACAGGGAATTCGCCCACATCATGTCTCATCTTATCTATGTTGGAAGGAACAGCTCGAGGATGGCAGATCTCAGCTGGCCACCACCTGGGAAAGGTGAAAACAAAGGACGAAACTTCTAGAAGGCTGCAAGACACTAGGAAAATAACCCACTTAGGATAAGAATAAGGAATAGCAATGTCTGTCTGTCCACATTAAAGTCTAGGGCATTCTTACTAGCTAACAAGAGTACAAATAAGGTATATGTGCTGGAAGCCTGAAAACACCTGCCCACACTCGCACACATGTACATACTCCCTTAGACTCAGTTATTCTACTTCAAGGAATCTATAAAAAGGAAATAATTAGAGAGATGAACAAAGGTTTATTTGTATAATGTTCACTGAACATATCTGTAAGAATGAAAAACTGGGAACAATGTAAATGCACAGCATCAGGGGAATGACAGTAATAACCATGCTGCACTATACAACGAAATACAATTTGGCCTTTAAAAGGGAAACGTTCAGTAATCATTAGGAGTATGTAAAAATAACACCAAGAAATGTAAAAAAATAAAAAGCACATACAACCACTTTGGGAGACAATCTGACATCAGCTATTAAAGCTGGAAACTCCTACACCTATTTTACTCTGGAGAATGCCCTATAGAAAGCTCTTTTGTGTGTAAACCAAGAAACACTAACAAATGTTCATAGTGCAAACAGGAAAACGGATACATGAAGTATACAACATTGTGTAACTATATAAAGAAGCTACGTAGAACTATGAATTAACTAGAGCTCTATATTAACTATGATAAATCTCAGGAGCAAAAAAGTGAATGATAAAAGCATGATGTAGGAAAATATATCAAAAATAATTTCTTTATATAAAGGTCTAAAACATGCAAAACAAAACATTATACATGTGGCAAACATATACAGCAAGGCAAGGGAATTAAAAACTTAAAATTCAGTAGAATAGTTACCTCTGGGTGAGGGGAGAGAATGGAATCAGACAGGGCATGGAGGGAGCCTCAAAACTACCAGTGCTGCTCTATTTCTTTAACTGGGAGGTACATACATAGGTGCTCCTTTTGTCATTCTTTAAAATCAAAAACGTCACATTCTTTTATGCATTATTGTTCAATGAAAAAAAAATTTTAGGGCCGAGCCCGTGGCGCACTCGGGAGAGTGCGGCGCTGGGAGCGCAGCAGCGCTCTCACCGTGGGTTCGGATCCTATATAGGGATGGCCGGTGCGCTCACTGCCTGAGCGCAGTGCGGCCGGTCTCAAAAAAAAGGACCAAAAAAAAAAAGAAAAAAAGAAAAAAAAATTTTTAAAGAAAAAGTGAGATGCAAAACAAGGTATAAACTATAAGAACAATATTGGAGGACTGTGGGGAGAAGGCTGTGTATTGGCATGTCTGTAAGTGAATATGACAAAATGTTAACAATGTATCTTCCTTGTTTGTGAGTTTATGGGTTTTCATAAATGAATTTTCTACAGAGAACATGTATTATTTCTTTTTTTTTTTTTTTAAATCCTATATAAAGATGACCAGTAAGGGGATCTCAACCCTTGGCTTGGTGGTGTCAGCACCATGCTCAGCCAGTGAGCCAACCGGCCATCCCTATATGGGATCCCGGGGCCTTGGTGTTACCAGCACCGCACTCTCCCAAGTGAGCCACGGGCCAGCCCAGAACATGTATTATTTCTTTTTTTTTTTTTTTAAATCCTATATAAAGATGACCAGTAAGGGGATCTCAACCCTTGGCTTGGTGGTGTCAGCACCATGCTCAGCCAGTGAGCCAACCGGCCATCCCTATATGGGATCCCGTGGCCTTGGTGTTACCAGCACCGCACTCTCCCAAGTGAGCCACGGGCCAGCCCAGAACATGTATTATTTCTATAACTGCAAATCATAAAGTTAGTTTTTTTTTTCCTTATAAGGAAAAGTTAATTAGGTGTGCGGTACTGTGCCTAATCAGGAAGATCATTTTTTAAAAAAAGAACTATGTCTGAGAGATTCCAAGGAAGAGAGGATGGTAAATTCTATGAGTGCCATTCTCCTTCAGGCTTACTCACCTGTATCGTCCAACTTTTACCCAGACAATCTCCCTGTAGTGAGGCTTTTTGCCTGCCTTACAGTCATTGCAATACCAATTTCCTTCAGGGATATCAATGTTCAGACACTCACGATGAAAAGCAGCAGGGCAAGAATCACAACATAGAAGGCTGCCTCCTGTGGGAATACAAATATCTGGCATTCAGACCTCAGGCTGCTGTAGGGACCCAGCTGAAATAGCTTTTGCACAGCTCAAATTATGTATCTCCCAATTACCAAGTACCAGCCAACAGCTTAGTAATTTAGTTACCCAGAAAGACTTCTCTACAAGAATACTCCCTCTCCAATATTCCTGACCGCTCCCCACCATTAGATTTGCCACTGATAAAGATGAGATCTTATTGGCAAAAAATTAAGGCAATGAGGTCAAAAGTAAACCCAATAAAGTCATTTCTGTGTACATACACACACGTACATTTTCTTCCTTTTCACTAGAACACAAAACAGTACACAAAGAGAATATCAATGACACACAATGATCAGAGTATAAAGAGCACAAGCCTTAACTGATTGATGTCAGATTTGGGTTGGAATTCCAGCTCTAAGACCATATGACCTAGGGAATTCACTTTCCATGCTGACCTGTAATTTCCTCAATGGTAAGGTATTTTCTACAACAAACAATAATCACATGTTTTTGAGGACTAAACTAGCTAATAAATCACATAGTAGTGTCTGAAACATAAGTAGTATCTTCATCTGGTGGTTCCTTCTCTCTTCTTAAAATTACTAACTTTTCGAGGTTAAATGAGCAGAGCCAAGGTTGGGTTTGCTGGGCTCCCTGGGGAGAATAAAAACAGGAGCCACAGATGATCAACAAGAAGGTCACACGTTGGGAAGCCGGGACAAGCCAGGAAGCTGCTTTTTGGGTCTGGTAAACTGGACTGAGTGGTCAAGAGAGGAAGTGAGTAAGTCTGCTGTATACTAGAACTTGCAGTGAGATAAGGGAAGGAGACTTCTAGTGAGACCTTAGTAAGGAAGAATTAGATTCCATATCTCCAGTCCCCAAGGCCTGGGCTTACTTCACAATACCAGAGTTTCCCAAGGTCAGATGCTTATAATTATCTGAGAATAATTTTGGCATGAAGTAACACTAAATCCACACAGGATCAAAACCCTTCACCTTCTTCCGGTCAAGATGGCAGAATAGATGGTCCCTAGCATCACTCTCTCCCACAAATCAACTGATTTAAACTATAAAAACATAACATCAAGTGCATATGGAACGGGGAGACATCCAGCGGGGGAGGCAGAAGACCACATGCCCTGCGGGGCCGCAGTCACACAATCCAGCAGATAGAGTTCACCGCTGCCACCCGGTTTCATTCCCAGCCCAGCCCAGTGTGCACAGAGTGGGGAGACGTCCGGCAGGGAGGCAGAAGCTCCGCAGAATCCACACACCCTGTGGGGCTGCCACTGCGTGATCCAGCAGGTAGGCTTCACCGCAGGCACCTGGCTCCATTCCCAGCCTGGCCTAGTGCGCTTTGAGCAGAGAGATGTCTGGCAGGGGAGGCGGGAACTCCACGGGGACAAGGCTGGCAGGCGATCCAGCAGCCTGGCCCAATGCGTACGGAGCACAGAGTTGTCCACCAAGGGAGATAGAAGCTCTGTAGAGTCCACACACCATGTGGGGGGGGCCACCGCCGTGTGATCCAGGAGCAGCTAGGCTTCACCGCCACCACCCGGCTCCACCCCAAGCCCACCCTAATGCGCACGGAGCAGGGAGACATGCTGCAGGGGAAGGGGAAGCTCTGCAGAGACCACACACTCTGTGGTGCCTCGGCTCATTGCAGCAGCCCGGTCCAGAGTGCACGGAACAGGGAGAAGTCCAGCATGGGAGGTGGAAGCTCAGCAGAGACCACACACCCTGCAGTACTGCCCCGTGACCCAGCAGCCCGGCAGAGTCCAAGCTGAACAGACAGGTGGCTCCCTGGAGAGGCCCAAGACCCGAGGCAACCACACACGCAAGGCACTAGTAGCCAACTGAGTAGTCACTGATGTAACCAAACCAAATTGGCAACCACAGCAACATCTTAGTCAGTCAATAGTGTCAAACCTGTGGACTGTG